AGGCGTATGAGCGGCGTAGGCCGGCTGGTGCAGCACCTTTGACTTGGCAGGAGTTCTCCACTCTCTTCTTGGAGAAGTATGTACCGCAGTCTCGTAGGGAGGAGCTGCGCAGACAGTTTGAGGGGCTACGCCAGGGAGATATGACAGTGTCCCAGTATGAGATGAGATTTTTGGAGTTGTCTCATCATGCAGTTTGGCTGGTTCCGACAGATCGTGAGCGTATCCGGAGGTTTGTTGATGGACTCACCTACCCTCTTCGTGTTCTTATGATTAGGGAGCGAGTGTTGGGTGCCACATTCGAGGAGGTGGTTGATATAGCCCGAGAGATTGAGTCGGTTCGCCGGCAGGATCGAGATGAGAGGGAGGCCAAGAGGACTCGAGGTTCTGGTAGTTACAGCGTCGCTCCTTCGAGGGGCCAGTTCCAGCAGGGTCGGGGTCGTTCTTTCAGGCCCGCTCAGTTGGCTCGACCCGAGTACCGAGGAGGATCTTCNCTGCTTAGTGTTTTTTACGAGGTTTCTTTCCGTCAGTCATTATTTATTGCTATTACTCACTGAGTCGGAGTACTCACTTTACTCCCTGCACCACGCGTGCAGATACAGGTATTCCGGAGGCGTAGATTGAGCTATTGCTGCTATTCAGATCTCACCGGGGTCATCGAGGTAGCTGCTTGGCGTTCGCAGACCCGATTTCTCCCTCTATCCTTTTTACTTTCAGTATTTTAGACTATCTTTTGGTTAGGCTGTTTTTCCAGACTTGTATTAGAGGCTCTTGACTCGTGACACCAGATCGGTGGGTTTTGTAGTGATATTTCTTGATTTCCGCACATTTTACCTACCGTTACAGAATTATAATTATGTTAATTTGGTATTTAAATCCTGATAATTGGTAATGAACTTTAAATGAGGGATTGAGAATGTTGAGTTGGTCGGGCTTGCCTATCATTGTGTTGGGCGCCATCACGACCGGGGTTGGGGTCGTGACAACAGGGAATTTATTGTGATAAAATTATTGGAAATGTACGTCAAGGCTGAAGACGTTGGCAATAATGAGATTGCGCAAAGCAGGGATAACCCCCTGTCATCGGGTGGTTATTTTGGAGCAATTTTAGCCTTACAATTTCCGGCTAAAAGATCTGGCCGGATTTTCACTTATCTCCGCGGGCGAACGAGGAGCGAGGAAATAATTTCTCTCCTACTTTACATAATCCACAAGACGACTGGTAAACTTCAATTTACCTTTATGTTACGATGTTTATTTTTTATTGAATTGAATTTGTATTAACACTCATATTTTCCACAGGGGGTACCGTCCAGATATAAATATTACAAGTTATGACACCACGCCCAGTTGGAATATGTGCAGTTATGGCGTGTTGGATCACGGTGGTCCATCCGGGAGTCATCACCAACAGAAAAATATCCATCATGGAGTGTCAACACAGTACGACTTGTAAGTGAAGTGATATAGTTATATGTAAAGTATTTTTCAATTTGAGTAGCTTATCATTTTGTTCTTTTTGTGCAATGAAAACGAGCAACTTGATGCTCCTGACTTCACTCAGTTGCCCATAGACGACGTATTTACTTGTGATTTAGCAGATGCACAGAGTCAGGAAGATAATAGTGATTATGACAACAATACCGATGAGTCTGGAGATGACACACCCTTCCCTGACGAGGGTGATGATGAGGAGGAAGTGAATGTCGAACCTGAGCTGACGAGGGAGCATGCTCTTCCACCTCCCGTTAGACCAAGAGTGTACAAGTCCCACTTGCCATTTCATGAGCGGAATATTCTCTACCTTGATAATTTGTCAAGTATGCCGGATGTAGATGCCCTCGCAAGGGATGCTGACGAATTTCGGTCAGCAATGTGGGATGAGTCTAGACCAACGGTGCTGGCAAAGGGCATGTATTTTCCCGATAAAGCTCTCTTAACCAGGGCTATAAAAATGTACAACGTAAGAGAGTGCCGTGAGATGATGGTATGGGAGTCAACTCCGGAGGCATACAAGGTCAAATGCCGTAGACACTTTATGGGTTGTAACTGGATGTTTCGTGTGATCAAGAAGGAAACAGGGTTGTGGAAAGTGGGTAAATATATTAGCACCCACAGATGTGAAATGGACACATTCAATCAGAATCACTTCAACTTGGATGTAGACTTGATTTCTCTTGTCTTGATTCCACACTTCGAAGTGTCCATTAGGTACAAGATCAAAGAGTGTATTACATCCGTCCACCAGGAATATGGGTGTACTATAACCAAAAGAAAGGCATATCTCGGGCGCAAACGTGCATTTGAATTTATTTATGGTGACTGGGATAAGTCATTTTCATCTCTACCCAGATACGTGGCCGTACTGAAACACTTTAACCCCGGGACTGTTGTTTAATGGAGGCATGAGCAGAGTCCGGTAATACCGGAATATATTTTCAATAATGTGTTTTGGTCATTAAGACCAGCAATTAATGGTTTTGTGCATTGTCATCCGGTAATTTCCATAGACGGTACTCATGTCTATGGAAAGTATGATATTAAGCTTTTGATCGCAGTTGCAGTAGATGCCAACGAACAAATATTTCCACTAGCTTTTGCCATATGTGCCAATGAAAGCCAAGAGACGTGGACGCTATTTTTGAACCACTTGAAGCAGCACGTTGTCAAACAACGTTCAGGTATTTGTCTAATATCTGATTGTCATGGTGGTTATTAAGTTCTGTAGAGCGTTTGCTTGAATTGCAGGAACCCTACACATACCACCGTTACTGTGTGAGGCACCTGAAGGCCAATTTCCAGAAGAAATATCCCGACAAGGCCTTGCATGATTTAATGTGGATGGCTGCAACTGAGCACCAGCAGTGCAAATTCACGAGGCGCATGGAAGCGATCTGGCAGTTAGACGAAAGAGCCTATAATTGGCTGATGCGACATGAGCTTCGCAAGTGGACATCGCATGCTGATGGTGGCAGACGATGGGGAGCCCTGACTACAAACGTGTCGGAGTCATTCAACGGCTTATTGAAGTCTGCACATGGATTGCCTGTCACTGCCATGGTCCGGATGACATTCAAATAGATTGCGGAGAGGTTTGTTGAAAGGCATAGAGCTGCATCGGAATTGATGGATAGGGGTGTTCAATTTATGCCAATACCGATGAGAAGATTTGAGAAATATTGCAGGCGAGCACATTGGCATTCATATTTGCAGTATGATCACGGCCGGGGTGTTTTTGAAGTTCGCACCGCTATTCGCGGGCACCGGGGGAATATTCTACAAACCGTGAATGAAGCCAGCAGGTTGTGTTCATGTGGGAAATGGACCATCTACCACATGCCGTGCACACATGCTATGAAGTGCTTTCAACAAGTTGGTTTAGGGGCAACCAACTATGTTGATCGGCAATACAGTGTTGCTGCATACGTAAACACATACAGTGAGCAGTTGCAGCAATTGGGTGGTGAGCATTATTGGCCGCCGGAACCATTTAAAATGTTGTGTAACAAGGACTATTTGCGCAAGCTGCAAGTGCAAAAGAGAACGCGTATACGGAACCAAATGGATATTGGTGATACCATTTTTGCGCGTAAATGTGGCATATGCTCGCAAACAGGACACGACCGTTGTGAATGTCCTTCAGCTGGTCTAGGTGGCGGTGGTAATCCAGCTCCTGGTGCAAGTTCGTCTAATGTACCCAACTATCAAGGATACACCTAGTGTTGTGTTTTCGTAATATTTTTTGTAATAAGTGTCTGTACTTGTTTATGTTGCAATTTCTATCAAATAAAATTATGCTCCGCAGTCTTGTTACATATGAATTTTGTGTGTTTCATAACATAATATTCGAAGAGAAAAAAGCACAACAACTATAACTAAAGCAACATACATGAAAATAAAAGATAATAAAAGGATAAATCAAGACAAAGCTGTTTCAATGCAAAAAAAAAGTCAATATATATAGCGCGGTACAATACTACGTTTTGTGTGTTGTCTTGTCGGTCTGAAAAGCTGACTGACTGCGAAAAAGCTGTTTCGTTTTAGAAAAAGTGAATATGTATAGCGCGATACAATACTACATTTTGTGTGTTGTCTTGTCGGTCTAAAAAGCTGACCGACTGCGAAAAAGCTGTTTCGTTTCAGAAAAAGTGAATATGTATAGCGCGGTACAATACTACGTTTTGTGTGTTGTCTTGTCGGTCTGAAAAGTTGACCAACTGCAAAAAAGGTGTTTCATTTCAGAAATATTGAATATGTATGGCGCGGTACAATACTACGTTTTGTGTGTTGTCTTGCCTATAAATAACGGGCGCATTCTAGTAATTTTCTGCGCTTAACAATAACCAATAGCAAATATTTCCATAAAAGCAAGGTTTTTCTTTACGCTTTAACACATATCTGAACCCCTTTATGTGCCAAGGTGCGAGTGCGGCAAAAAATGCATGATGCAAGACTGTTGGGATGATGGTGAAGCTGGACGCCGCTACTAGGCGTGTATGAACAAGTTTTATATGGTTCCCCCGATGAACTTGTTTGCAATTTTGAGGTATGGATTGATGAACCCTGTCAGCAGGAATACTACAACGAAAAGTTGTAGTATCTTCATTGTTTGTGTTTGAAGCAGTGGAAAAGAGAGCGACAATCCAAACAAGAAGTTGCGGAGTTGAAGGAGAAACTCAAAGAGGCGGAAGAAGAAAAAAATAAACTAGAAGACAAATTTAAGTGGTTGGAGCAGAGAATACTAGGCGGTCGTGAATAAACAATGACATGTACTTGTTGAGCGTAGTAGTGTATCTTTATGTTTCCCGTGTCATGTGTTTTCATTAGTTGTACTGAATTTAAGTTATGTTAAGTTTCTATGTTTGTGTTTGTGTTGTACTGTTAAAATAAAGAAGAAACGGGGTAATAAAAACACAATGCACATATTATGCGAGCATAAAAAATTGTTGTTATTATTTACATAAAATAATATTTACATAGCGTACATAAAATACAAAAAAAAATCAATGAGTCCCACAGCCTTTGTGCTTCAATGCAGCCACTGGCCTGAGGCGTATCCCCTCCCGTCCGGATACACTATCAGGATCATCCTTATCACGTCGCCTCTTTATATGAGGATGCGTTACAGGATGATTGTCAGTTGGGCTGGCAAGGTCGGTAGAAGGGGTCGTCGGTCCATCAGCAACCTACAAAATAATAAGTAAGCTCAGTATATGAAAATGTATATTAGTAATGTACGTGTTAAGTTAAAAACATTTTCTTACTATGGTCTCGTCGGGCTCCTGAATATAAGCATCCGTGGTGTCCTCAGCATCGCACAAAGTGGCCTCCATGACGGGCTGGGATGAAGCCTTAATAAGAAAATTAAAATTAATTTATGGCAAATCATTGAGAAAAAAGCAAATTAAATTTTAATAGTAATACAAACATACCTGCGCATGTGATAGATCCGCCGCACCCGACGACGATGAGCCAAAACTCAACCTGCACCCACCATCCACGTCTCAGGTCTGTCGATCCTCAGCTGCGGTCGATGGGCCTGAAAAGAACTGCGCCCAACCTCCGGTGAAGCTCGTGCCCATAATCAACAATGGATCTAACGGGGTTACCTGCGATGCTGGCAGCGCAAGCTGAAGGCTGTACGACGGCATGCTGCTGGGATGCTCGTCTGGCCAAGGAATGTCACCCGGCAGATCAGCTCCAACCTTCTCATCAGGTGCCTCAACGCCCCCTTGCTGGGGACCACCTCCTCGCCGGCCCCCACGACCCTGTGGGGCACCCTCGCCTCGTGGTACTGCCCTGCCTCGTCCCCGTCCCCTCGGGCGTGCGATAGGCCTACCCTGCTGGTGGTGCTCCGGTGCCACATAATCAGGGTCGTGATCTAAGCGCTCGCCGTGTCTGGCTCGCTGCAGTGTCCGGAGAGCCAGCTCTGTCACCTGCCGGCCGTACTCAGCGACCGCAGGATCGCCGGCATACTGTTGTATCTGCAGTCCCAACTAATAGAATAAATGATGACCAATAGCCTCCACAACATTTAAAATATTAATTACAGACGCTATATCACAGTTATAAGTAAGAATACCAAATAACATACCAGTGCCTTGTGCCTCCCGGCGTTTGGTCTGTACCGACCGCCAGCTTGATGAATGGGGTTCCCGATAAATAGTCGGGTAACGCGGCGGTACCAGGACGTATACATCTGAATGGTCGCCGCCTGGATCTGTGAAGGTGGGGGCGGAATCAGGTCCTCTCGTCGGTCCCAAGTATGGACCTGCGCCTCTAGCCATGCTACAAATGGGTTCTCCGCCCTAGAACGATCATCCCGCTGATAATGTGTAGCCTCCCATGTAGGCCCCCTCGGTATAGTCTGCGGACGGCCAAACTGGCAAAGTACCCGTTCTCTGGCATGATGCTCCATAATATCGAGGCACATCAGCGGGACGAAAGTGCTCCAAATCAGTCGGCCGGTTGAGCAATAATCGGGCAGGCCACCTACCAAGTCGTCGATGTATGGCGTCTAGATGAACTATCAAATAATAACATAAAAGTGAGTATGCGCAACACAAGTGAATTTATAACAAGTAAGTTTAGGTACACATTTACCTGTGCGCCCTCCAGCATATCCAAAACATCCTTGACAAGGGGGAGATTATGATGAGCATCAATGGCTCGATAATTTCCACGACGGAGAACCCACCTCCTAGCTAGAGGGAGAAACGGAGGTGCTACATCTGGAGGTAATGGTGGTAGAGGTGGCTGCAGCTGCAGGAACCGCTCCCAGGCACAAACCTAACATACAAGGTTGACGTAAAGTTTAAGATAAATTTGACTAGATAGAATGGGAAGTAATGAACAGAGTATTCAAATATGTTGTCACCTGTAGAAGCGGCAGAAAACCACATATGTCGCTTTGGGTGCTCATGCTCGCCCGGCACATATGCGTGTACAGGTAAGCGAGAACAGCAGCACCCCAACTGTAGTGGGGTAAAGCATCTAGCTGCTGAAGATGATGTAGGAATCGCAAACTCACTAGATTTCCCGAAGTGTTCGGGAACAAGACACCTCCCAAAAGAAGGAGCAACACCAACCTCGTGTACCGGTGAATATGTAGATCATCTGTCTCGCCGGTGATGTCGGGGTGCAATATCTCCAAATGTTGTCTAATAGTTGTCAAAGCCATGCGACTGGCCCCTGAAGCTGCAGCCTCATCCTGTGGCCTAAAACCAGTGAACTGCTGCAACAAGTGCAAATACTGGGCACGCAACATAGATCTCATATACTGAGGCAGTGCAATGGGCAGTCTATCAGCAGGCAGCCCATATAAAACCTCAACATCCTGCAGTGCGATGGTGGCCTCGCCAATGGGCAGGTGGAAAGTGTGCGTCTCCGGTCGCCACCGCTCTATCAAGGTCATGATTAGGGCTGCTTATCGGGAGGATTGAGAGGTTATTTACTCTTAACGGTTTGGCTTATCGGTTATCGGCTTTTAAATGTATTAATCCGCTAGCCATCCGATAAGATATCGGGCGGATTGGTATCGGTTTAGCTCTTATCGGGCGGTTTATCGGCCTAATTCAATCTATATTGCGTGTATTAATTAATTGTTTGCTGACCGCTGACTCAAAATAAAATTCCTATGCTCAACAGTACTCTTGAATTGTTCTTTTATATTTCTTGACTAAGCACAGAACAACTAAAATGCTCAATTTTTTTGCCTTATTACTTTAAGAAATGGATTTCAATGGGAGATTGATGATGGGTACTCTACCTCCTATTGTATTGCAGATTAGAAGAAACAAGCTTTCAAGGAGGTCGCCATAATAAGGCATCCACGCATTGGTGAATATGCATTTGGGTTCATTACTTCTTCTGTTGTCCTGCTGGTATGCCAACAATTTCCTATTCATGAGGAAGGAATCAGTTATTTTTCAAAACAAACTGATACACCATTTGGAAATATTGTTATTACATAGTAGAGAAGCAATACAACTCTCTCATATAGGCATGCAGTAGCGAAAAGATTGTATATCATCTCAAATATCTGTCCTTCATAGTTGAAATTTGCTTTCTTATCATCCCAATCCAGAACTATTCAGGAGAGGAAGAGCTAATAAAGTGTAAGTCTCCTAATTTCATGCAATTTTGAAAACTACACATGCAATTTTTCTGAATACCTTTATATATGCAGGTTTAATATACAAGTACTGGACGACGAGAAATATCTTGGACTAAATAATGGATATACTTTAGCCGATGCTTACTGTGTCGGATGTGGAATGCTAATTTCTGCGATTGCACCCGACTACTAATTTCAGTGCCAACTCTTTTTCATTATTGAATATATATGGATAAAAATAAATTACATATATATATATATATATATATATATATATATATATATATATATATATATATATATATATATATATATATTCTTAACGGGTTAACGGATTATCCGTTAAGAAAATTGAATAATGCGCCCCCAAACCGATAAGCCGTTAACAAAAAAATTCAATCGGTTCCCCGTCCGTTAAACCGTTAACCCGCTACCAATAAGCCATTAAGCTTCGGTTTTGGTTCGGTTTTCGGTTTTGATTCGGTTTTGAACACCCCTAGCCGTGATCAGAGACCAGTCGAGCTGCAGCCGCCCAATCTCAAAAATCCTATAGAAGCCGGTATCCCTCAGGCGCTGGACTACGCGGGGATGGAAAACTCTGTCCCTCATAAAGTCCTACAAGTCGTCCACTCTCCTGGCGCGGAGAGTCTGCTCTAGTAGCTCTCCCTCCCATACGTAGGCGGACCTATGATCGCCTTGTAACACTAATAGCTCATCGGAGAAAGGTCCAGGATGCACAGGCGGCACGTCCATGTCGTCTACTGTAAATTAAACAATATTAATTGTGTGTTTGTTTTGTAAATAATTAATATTTAATTATTTAATTGGACAAAGTAAATATATCTATGGGTTCCAGGCTCGATATTTGAGGCCCAGTAGCACCAAGCTATCCTTAATTCTTATGTGTGTCAATTTCAATTTTTTTTTATAATTTTGTGTGTTTATTTTATAAATTAAATAATTAATTTTTAATTGGACAGAATATATATCTATGGGCTCCAGGCTCAATTTTTGAGGCCCAGTAGCACCAAGCTTTCCTGAATTCATCTGTGTGTCAATTTCAATTTTTATCATTTAATTGTGTACTTTTCATAATTTTATTTGTTTTATAAATTAAATAATTCATTTTTAATTGGACAGAGTATATATCTATGGGTTCCAGTCTCGATATTTGAGGCTCAGTAGCACCAAGCTATCCTGAGTTCTTGTGTGTGTCAATTTTAAATTTTTTATAATTTTGTGTGTTTGTTTTGAAAATTAAATAATTAATTTTTAATCGGACAACGTATATATCTATGGGTTCTAGGCTCGATATTTGAGGCCTAGTAGCACCAACCTTTCCTGAATTCTTATGTGTGTCAATTTCAATATTTTTAGAATTTTGTGTGTTTATTTTGAAAATTAAATAATTAATATTTGATTATTTAATTGGACAGAGTATATACCTATGGGTTCCAGGCTCGATATTTGATGCCGAGTAGCACCAAACTATCCTGCATTCTTATATGTGTCAATTTCAATATTTTTCATAATTCTGTGTGTTTGTTTTATAAATTAAATAATTAATTTTTATAAATTGTAATTGGATAGAATTTGTGTTTGATCTATCAATATACTAGATACTTAAACCACGGAGATTCTACGCTAAAAGGCTCTACATTTTACTACGCTAAAAAGGCACTAGTCTTTAAGCAAATAAATAACCTAAACTAAATAAAAACAACATAAACTAGTTTAAAACATATATTTTAATAACATAACATTCATGAAATTACATATCTTAATCCGGATAAAAATAATCGCAAACAAAACACAAAACAACATAAAAAAAAAATTATGAATATTTTTAAAACACTAATATCTTAATCCGAATAAAAATAACATACTAGTTTAATGGAAAAATACATAGTGTGTCTAAGACACACCACTTTTGTACTTGACCAATTTTTCAGATAACGTGAAAGGCACGCCCTAATAGGGTCGTGACACGTGTCATTGATTTTTAAAATGAAAAAAATATATTAGAAATTAAAATTAAAACCCATCTTTTTCATCTTTCCATTTTCTATCTTAAGCCCCATTGTTGCTACCATCATGATTGTTTGTGAGAAAGTTTTCAACAACACCAAAATTCAACCACATCATCTAAACAACTAGCCGAAATAATCAAGCAACAAAGTGAGTTCAACAACCCAATAATCAACAAGACCCATTTAAATTTTCAAGCTTTTTTCTATACCCCAAAAATGGTGGATTCTTGATTTTTTCACCAAACATTCAATACTCCTGTTAAAGCTTTAAATCTATCACAAATAAATAGTTTTAATAATATTTGGACAATAAACAAAAAAAGTTCGCTCAATTTTAGATCTAAAATTGATATGTTCTTTAAAAAATTCTATTTGGGGAAGAAAATAAGGGGGAGGGGTGGTGAGGAAGAAGACCAGAGGGAGAGGGAGGAGTTCATATGGCAGGAAGACAAAAAATGAGATTTTTTACGGGCCTCACGCGTTTTTTTGGTGTGTAAACACGCAAGTGCTATCTGGTCAAAAGTAGTGTGTCTTAGACACACTGTTGAAAGGTTGAGTGTGTAAAATATTTTTCGTGAAAGAGAGGTGTGTAACAGGAATTTCGCTGCATGGTTGACGGGTAAAATATGTATTTTGCCTAGTTTAATCGCAAACAAAACACAAAACAACATAGAAACACATTCAAGACAACTAATATGCATTATTATACGAGTTTCGACATAAACTAAATCGGAATACCTCGATTTATGTTTTTAGAAAACTCGAAAAATTGAAATTTTGAGCCCGAAACGAGGAAACCAAAACAATAGAAAGCTTGGGTTTGATGCGGGACCTACAATATTATCTTTTTGTGTGACGGGTGGGGTCCACTCGGATTTTTTTTTTGGAGAAAAAGAGGGGGTGCTGGTGTTCTTTTAAAATTCAAATGGGGCTCGTCTGTTTCTGACGTGGGGAAGAAGAAGAGCTCTTTATTTAAGAGGTATAGCGCGTTATAATACCGCGGTATATATAAAACGGTATTATACCGCGCTATATTAACGCGGTATCATACCGCGCTATATATACCGCGGTATCATACCGCGCTATATATAACGCGATATTATACAACGTTATATGTAGAAAAATATCATTTTTTAGCCAGTAAAAACGTATTTTGAGTCCAAAAAGTTGGCATTTAGGTTTCGAACTCTTTTTTAAATGGTTCTTTGGCAAAATACTTCATGTGATTATTTCAAATGAGAAGATGAAATATCCGCGGATGGTTTCCAGCTTGAAATAAGAGAATTAACGCCGTCTTTGAATGCGGCTATAATTGAAAGAGACAAGTTGAGGGAAAAAGTAATTGCCATGGAAGCCATGAACAAATCTGAAGCTACTAAAGTCAAAAAGTTGGAAGAAAGAATTGTACAATTAATGATGGTGATAATTGGCCTTGGGCACTATTTGTTGGATTCTTTGCCGCCTGGATAATGAAGTAGTTTTTATTATGGTTCTTCCTTGTTTGGTTGATTATAATTATGTTAGTTCAGCCCTCCCTTGTGTAGTGAATTGACATGTATTGCTTAGTGAAGCAGGGAACTAGTTTCTTGATAATCTAGATATGTATGTGTTTATTAGCATGTATTGGTTTAGGCCTTTACAATGATACTTCAATTGGAGATGTAATAATACGATGCTTCTGTTTTTGGCGTGAAATGGTGAATGAATATGAGGCTTCGTTTTTAGCATTCTTAACTTTTAATTAGTATGTTTTAATCTGCACAAATACCTGATATAGCAGCAGTTACATTTTTACCATATCCTTATGTATGTAATCTATATTAAGAAGAAGACAATGTCGTCGTACATCAGAATAAAGAGAGCATAACGAACTTGGGAATTCATACCATAAACTGTTCAGAACTTACTAGCATTGACAGAAATTCATAATATCAACTGTCATAGTGCATCACCAACTTCATAACACTAACTGCCATAACATTATAAAAATAAATGTACTTTCATGGCAGTAATTACATCAACCAGCAAATTAACAATTGTGCTGTCATAGCAGTAATTACAAGCCTTCTAAAGTTAAAATTTACAAAAACTTTCACCACTTAACTAACTTTCCACCTTTAGTTCAAGTCA